TGTCCATAACTATGTCTTCAACTGACGAAAGCCATGCCAATATTTGTACAGTTGGAATATGTTTTGTCAGAACAGGTTCCAAGCGGAGCTGTGTTTGCCAGTCAATCAGTTCTTCATAACTAGTCGCTTGAAATCTATCACAGGGAGTTGAAATTTTCGATTTGGTATGTCATCTTCACGAGCACGAAGAATTCTCTTCAACGCAAGCTTACGGATCACTTGACGGTTGTCTTTGAGCATAGCCAGAATAATGCTCTCGATATGAGCCGGGTAGCTATTGCGCTTCAAAACTTGCTGAACAATTATTTGATAACGCACAGGAAGAAATCGTGATGTTTCTATCATTTTATAATAGTGTGGAGCAGCATTCCAGCAGTTTGAATGTTTCTTAATGTCAAACCAAACAAACGCATATGAACTCACAATAAATTTAGCCAAAAGTATAGTTCATTTGATGGATCTTCAGTAGATATATAGAGGCGTAGAACACGGTTTGCTAGTGTCAACCACCTTGCATGGTTTAGTCGCCCAGGTGTTCTAGAATTAAATCTATCTGGTACAACACTTGTCTTCACCGCATTAACAATTTCGAAAAAGTACAGTTGATCACTGCTTAACAACTGCTTATCGCATATAATAGGTTCACCAACAATTATGGCAAAGCTGACTATGGGTTTCTGAACATCTATCTGATATGCCAAAACCATCTGCTTGTAGAGCAATATTTTTTAAACAACGGTTTTTCAGACGAGTAGATGTGACTTCGGTATCGACATCTGATACGGAAGGGGAATAAGTTTCGGTGTCAGAATTGTTGTCTGTTTCATTATCTGATTCATTATCAGATGCATCAACGACTCTGGCACACTTAACTGCAGTCTCTTCCTTTGATAATGAAACAGATTTTCGTTTTAAACGCCTCTCAGCACGTGCGGATTTCTTCTTGTCGATTCCAGCTATTCAGTCAACACATATAGTGCGTTGATCAGTTAGGAAGTCATGCTCAATTGCTGACACCTTCAGAACCATTGGACAGCAACAAGACGAAAGTTCTTTCCATTTACACGAACAAATGTCAAACAATGTGTTAAGATCTTTTTCTATTTTATCTTTTTTGACTGTTGCAGACTTTGATCGAATCACTTTCTGAACATCGCCTATGTACTTCTCCAGCTGTAATTCTATGCCTGGAAGACTTATAGTAGGAACTGATGCTTTAATCCATATCTGAAAAAGTTTCTCTGCTAGTCTCTTACAAACAGACCGTAGTGGTTCATTTTCATAATTCTTCTCAGACAAGTATGCTTTGCCTACTTGCTTGTGGGTTGGCAAGCAAAAATTGGGTAATTCACGACCTTCTCCAAAAAGTATATGACGATTCTTTGAAGCTTTAGATCTTGAAATCATTATTGTTTTACAATTTTATAACATATCAGAATTTCAGTTAATTTCTAAAAATACAAGATGAGACGGATAAATTTTGCAATCAGTTGATAAAAGTAGAAATTAATAAACAATCATATAAAAATAGAATAATATAATAATAATATAATAATATAAAGCTATAATAGCGTTGGAGTTAATCATATCATTAGGGTTAATTTAGTTAGGTAGGTATAGGTTTGGTTCAATTTCATAACCTTGGGATTATATCTAGTATTAGGGTTAAATGCATGTTTCAGTTAATGCATGTACTAAAGTAAATATACTTAGCATATAAAACCTTAAACCTTATATATATATATATATATATATATATATATATATATATATATATATATATATATATATATATATATATATATATATATATATATAATATATAAAATATATATAATACATATATATATAATATATTATATATATATATATATATATATATATATATATATATATATATATATATACATATATATATATATATATATATATATATATATATATATATATATATATACACATATATATATATATATGTATATATATATATATATATGTATATATATATGTATATATATATATATATATATATATATATATATATATATATATATATATATATATATATATATATTATATACATATAAACATTGCATACAAATTTTTTATAAGCAACTTATTTTCAATGCTCATGAATTTTTTAACTTTTTCAAATTTTTGATCTTTTTTGGACTTTCTTTTTTTGTACTCATACCCAGACAACTTTTTTCTCGAATTTGAAATGTTATGTAACATGAGACAGGTTATTTTTTATTTGTAAGATAAAATTATTTCTAAGAAAAAAAAAAAAATTTGAACGATATTCTCAAGAAACATTGATAAAATTCTTAACGATAAAACAAAATACAACTTACTGATTTTTAAAATCGAGTCAACTTAATATTTAATAACAAAAAGTATGAACTTTTGAATTTGGAAAAAAAAAAAAGCGCAACTTTTCCAAATGACTCCTAGGGGAAACAACGCACAAATGATAAAATACAATAGAAAATCATGTATTATATTTTTTAAGTAAATATTGTAATTTTTCAAAATCGTTCAAAGATCGTTCAACTTTAAAATCGCGTGTTTTTTTTTTGTAAAGGTTAGGCGTTAAATTTTTTATTTTTAATTTATTATCGGAAAATTAAAACTTGTAAATAATAAAATTTTACGCCCCTATTTACTTGCTGCCTTCGTGCGGCGCACAACTACCCCCCCTCCTTAAACCCGGCCTTGGGTAAGTTACAACATTTTTTTTTTTCATTTTTGTTACACTAATGCGGAACAATTAAGTTTTATATTATATTTATCAATATTGGTTTAGTCACGGCAGTTTCAAATTGATACTTATTGGAACTTTATTCTGAGCATGCGTAGTGAACAGTTGCAAAACATCAGAAATTCGATGATTTTTTGTATAATTATTTTCTTAAGCTCAGCTACTCTAACTTGAATTTTTTTATGTTTAATATTTCAAACTTTTTGTAAAACGTAGCGATTTGCTTTAGAGTTGGCAGATACATCTTTATATTATAAATTTTGTTGTTGAAATTATGTTTTTTAACGAAAACTTTTAAATCAAAAGGTGATATTTTTTTCTTGAAATGTTCTGTTTTTTAATCAGCTATATTACAATAAAACGAATTTTCTGTAGCTGAAACTAAGTTGTTTTGTTTTCTTCATTTTATTGATCTCTTTTTAAAGTTGATTCTAGAGACCGGTAATTTTTTTTAAAGGCACATTTTTTATTTATCTGACGTAACTGCTTTATTTAGAAATCTTTTAAACATGGACCATGCAACCAAATTAAATCTAATTTGTAGAATATGCAGAGAAGATATAATAAAAGATCCAGTTGATATAAATAAATATTCCAAAAGAATCGAAAATTCCTATTATATAAACACCAGCATTGATAATAAGAAAATTCACCCACAAAAGATGTGTAATAAATGCTATACCAATTTAAGGAACATTGAAAAAGGTTCAAGTTCTAGTATTAAACCAGTTGATTGGCCTTTACCATGTGCAGGCAATTGTTCTTGTTTCCCCAAAGTTGTTGGAAGAAAAGTTAAAAAAAGTAAACCTGGTGGACCATGTGTCATGGAACAAAATCAGAAGAGATGGACTAGGCCAATTATAAATAACTTAATTAGTACTATACCAAAACCAACATTGCGTTTAAATGTAATTGATATTGATCCTGTATCAAATCCCCACTTAAACTTGTGCATATGCAAGTTATGCAACAATATTATGTATAAGCCACTAATATTAAAAGAGTGTCAACACTCATTTTGCTCAGTGTGTTTATTCAAAGAGATTGAAGGAAAGTTGGAAACAGAAGCTAAATGCTTTATTTGTGGACAAACTATTTCTTTAAATTCAGTTTTGAATTCTGTTAATTTAACACAAATGATAGAGCACATTCTTTTAGGTTGCAATAAGAAATGCAAATTAAATTATGCAGTTAAAGACAATGAGCTTAAAAAACTACATGAAGAAAATTGTATGGGTGAAAAATTATTGCAGACTTTTTGCAAAAAAACTCCAAGTGGACTTGATACAACTCTTTCTGATATATTTTTATTAAAAGGAAATGATGTTATTCCACGGATTGTAGAAGATGCTGCATTGCATGTTATAAAGCAAATTCTGAATCAAACTTTTTTTCTTTTCCTTCTGGAGGACCAAGGGTAAACACATTTTAAATGTATATAAAATTTTGTTGTAGTTTTTGTTGTAATTGTTAAAATGTAATTTAATTTCAATCCTTTCTAGCCTTTGCAATTTACTTCCAACTCAATGGCATATAAAGACAGCTCAGATGTTAGTAAGAGGACAATTAGGAAAAGACATTTAGCTGTTATAAACTCTTTAAATGTGGTTCCTGGTTTGGCCAGCACCTCACAACTTCAACAAACCTCTGCTATTTTAAATTCATTTGGAGAAAAAGATCAAATTAAAATATTGAAAATGTCGAACATTCCTTCATCAGTAATAAGTGCAGAAGAAATGGTAAGTATGAAAGCTCATATGGGAATCACCTATTCAAACATGAAGATAATTGCAAGGTAAAACATTTTAAATTGAACCACATGAAACAAAAATGAAAGTGCAAATAAATAAAAAAGTTTTTGAATTCAAAATGTTCAAAATTTTATTTTAGATGGCTCAAAACAAATAATATTAAATGTGCATCAAACAAAAAGCAACGCAAAGTAGCTAAATCTTGGTCTGGAGAAGATTGGGTAGTTTGTAATGCGCCATTTAACTTTCCTTTAAAGGATTCTATTGATTCATTTGAAATAAAAAATGCTCCTTGGGGATACATTAAAGATTTTCCATCTCATATAATAAACAAACTGAACCTGCTAAAAAAGTAAATATTATACTATGTATACACACACATATATATATATATATATATATATATATATATATATATATATATATATATATATATATATATATATATATGTATATATAAATATATATATATATATATATATATTGGTGGTGATTATGGTGGTGGATCCTTTAAGATGTGTTATCAAATCGTGAATGTTGATAAGCCGAATGCCAAGAGAAACACAAGTGTTTTTAGTATTTTTGAAGCGAAAGAGTACAAACCCAACCTTGTTGTGGGTCTCTCAAGGTTTACACCACAAATTAATCAATTGCAGTCACTGTGTTGGAAGTAATTTTTATTTTGTCATATTGTTATTATATAATAATAAATAACAGAAAACTCTATTTTGAAAAAAAAAAATTTTAGTGAGAAAAAAATAAGAGTATTTATTTTTGGCGATTACGAATTTTTATGTTCAGCATATGGAATCACTGGTGCAAATGGTATAAAACAAAATTATAAAGTTTTGCAAAACAACATTTTTTAAGTTGTATTTTTTATATTTTTAAATTGTATAATTTTATATTCAGTTTTTTTTATGACTTTTTAAATTGTATATTTAAAATGATATTATTACATTAGGTCGACATGCTTGCTTGTTTTGTCATATAACTTGTGAAGAGATGAAAATGAATCCTTCTCAACAAAAGCACAGTTGCTCCAAGCGTACTCTGGAAACACTTCATGCAGATTTCCAAAATTTTATTCAAAAAGGTTGAATACCAAAATTAGCAAAGACTTGTAACAATGTCATTGATTTGCCACTTTTCAATATTCCATTAACACAAGTATTAAACTTTTCTAATATCATTAGAAAAGTTTAATACTTCGGCAGACATTATTCCATTAACACAAGTATTTAACTTATTTATATCATTTTTAATATTTTTTTTATTGATTTAACGAATTTAGGTAAGCATTCCATCATTACATATCTCATTGGGAATTTATCTTAAATTTTTTAATATGCTTGAAGATGGCTGTCATCTCTTAGATGTAAAAATTGCAGCAAAAATGTGTATGACAAATCAAACTGTAAACAACAGAAGTTTTGATGAGTATATTGCACTTCAATTAAAAATATATGAAGGAGAAAAAGTTATTAATGAATATTGTGAAAAAATAACTCTAATTCATGAAGCAATGGCAATACATGTTCTACGTTCTCCTGAAAATAAAGAAATTATTTGTGAAATATTTCAGCCCAGAGTAGCCCATTATATGGAGAAGAAAAATGCTAAGGTATAATGAGTTAATATTCAAAAAAAATGAAATAAAATTTATTATACTTCTTTTTATGAAGCATTAATCAATTTAAGAGCTTCTGTCTGTGTGTGTTTCGTATATAATTTTTATATATAGCTGATTGAATTAGAAGAGTTAAGATCTAAAACATTTGAAAAATCACATGGACCACTTGTGAAAAAACTTGATGAAGTTCTATGCGGTCTTCATGTTCAAAGACAAGCTTATCATGGAAAATGTTTTATTGGGAATCATGTTCATAAAATGTTGAAGGTTTTTCTATACTTATATTTGCATATTTTTCTCAAAAATATCTTCTCAAATACATAAGTTCATAAATACATAGAGGTTATTAAACATTAATTTTGTAAATGTGTTCTAAAATTTATTCTTTATTCATTAGCTAAACAGTATTCTAGATCTTTGTAATTCAATACCTAAAATAGTAAGTGATCTTGGATTTATTGGTACAGATGTTCATAACGAGGCGAAGGTCTTGAGTAAGAAATTTGTTGCTTTGTTCTCCAAATACTCGACATGCTACAACTTTATGAATTCAAGTGAAATAATTAACAAGAATCCAATATCAGAATTAGGTGAGATTATATTTTTTAAATTATTTTTTATTATGAAAGTTACTCGCATTGAAATTATTTTTGCAATGGTGTTCATAATTATTTCTTTGTTTTTTAATTTTTTATAGAAAGAGCCATTGATAAATTAATGAGTTACTTTCGTAAAACATGGCCCAATGAGTCCATTACTCCAAAAATGCATTTGTTAGAAAGTCATTGTGTTGATTTTATTAGAAATTGGAATTCGGGTCTTGATATTTATGGAGAGCAAGGTTTAGAAAGCATGCATGCCGAATTCAACAGTATGAACAGCACATTTTGTCATATGAAAGGAAAGCAAAGACTGAGAAGTATTTTGTCCAATCACTATATCAAAAACTCTCCAGAAGCTTTAATAATTAGACCAACTATTAAAAAAAGAAAGCCTTATAAAAGAAAAGCTTGAAACGTGAAACTTTATAGATGAATTTTAAAATCAAAAAATGTATATTATATAACGATTTAATTTTTAAGTGTGTGTGTGTGTGTGTGTGTGTGTGTGTGTGTGTGTGTGTGTGTGTGTTTTCCAATACAATAATTCCTAACGTTTTCTTTAACATCTGGTAATTTCATTTAGTAAAATGGAAATTTTATTAAAAAAGCGGATATTTTTTCAGCGATAATAGTTCATAAATTACAAAGAAAAAAAAATTACCGGTTTCTCAAAATTGGACATATTCTTTATATACCTAAACTTTAACTCTTAAACATTTCAGGTTTTCACGAAAAATTTATTAAAGTACTTATTTATCAAGAATAATTAGACTTCCATAAAGTTTGTAACTAAAAAAATTGCAATGTTCTTGAACTTATAAAAAGTGAGTAAACACTTTTTTTTTATATGTATGTATCTTTTAAAACTAGTTCAACTAATAATTTATTAAAATAAAAAAAAATCTAAAAACTTATTTTTATTAAAAGGTATAATAAATTTAGTTATTAAATCTGTGCTTTTTAATTTTTTTTTTGCGTTTTGCTCGCTTTATTGAAAACTTAAAGATAAAAATATTTGTTAATGCGCATGCCCAGAATAAAGTTCCATTACGAAACTGCCGTGTAGTAACTCATTAAGATTAATTTTATTACCCTGATAAAAATTAAAAAAAAAAAAAGTTATAAGAGATAAATGCAGTTTATTAATTTTTGTTGCAACTAGCCCCGGTCTCCCCTACTCTGAATATAATTAAACAAAATTTTGAAATATGAAAATATTTTTCTCTGCTAGATATAAGATACTTTCTAAATTGGAATGGATAAACTAACAGACAATTCAGTAAGACTTCATTTTGGAAACATAGTCGTCATGTGCCCAGCCAGCATTTGGTCCTAAAAAGACTTCTTTTGAACGTCCAAAAGACGTTTTTTTAGACCAAATGCCGGCATATCATAAGATTTGTGAGTGTGAGAAGTAAATCTTTTAGACCCATGTGAATTGTTGGGCGCCTTCCACCGTCTACATATACATCATATATATATATATATATATATATATATATATATATATATATATATATATATATATATATATATATAATATATATATATATATGCATTTATTGTTGAAATTGAAGACATGTTTTGACTATACCCAGTCAACCATTCCAACTGGGTCTCAGTTGGAATAGTTACCCGACTGGGGAAAATGCTGGGACCCATATGGGTTTCATTGCTATTTTGCTAGTGGGATCCAACTGGGTCCCATCTGGGATTAGTCTGGGTTTTTGACGGGAAATCCCATATTGAACCCAGATATTTTTTTCATTTACTGCGGGTCTATTTTTTATGGTTTGTTTTTCGCAGATTTTTTGTATCTCGAATCTGCGAAATAATGTGAAAATTTTAATTAATTTTTAATTTTACATAAAAAAGCGTCGCATTTTTTATGTAAAATTAAAAAGTAAAGGTTATTTATATTATCTATATAAATTATCTAGGTTATTTATATTATCTATTAAATTTACTGTCAGGGCAATAAAATATATAAGGGAAATGAATATTTGGTCTGACAATTTTTACGAATCAATTGAAAAAACAGATTCGAATTACATTATATTTTTTTAAGCAACAAAAAACTAATAATATAAAATGATTTGATGCAATACTGTTCTACGATAGTAATATTCTGCCACAGTAGTTCTCTTATATCGCCACCATAATTGTATGACAAAATTTTGCTTAAAAGTTTATTGTTATCGTTTTTTTTAGTGCTTTCATCCACTTTTACACTAATTTTATAAATTAAAAATAAACATTTGAATAATATAATAATTTATAGCATATATATTTACAAAGTATAGATAAAAATACTTATTGATAATATTATTTAGGGCATACCATGCAGTGTGCCATACCATGCCATATCTTGCATATAACTAACACTAGGCAAACAAAAACACACATACAAATCACAAGCTAACTCGTTGCAATATATAAATCGATAAACTGTCCTCCATAACTAAGGAACTGTTAGAAATTAAAAAAAAATTCTTATAATAAAAAATTTTTTAAATAATTATAAAAATATTGTGATTTAAAACCATTTAGATATGTTAATTACAGGGCGCGACAAATCGACGAACGTTTGTTAAAAAAAAGACAGAAAAACGAACGTCACGTTTCCTTACTTTTACTTAAGCAAACGTTGGCGTTCGCTTAAATTTTTTAAAGACGAACGCATATTTTCAGCAATTTTTTATTTCCAAATAATTATGCGATTGATAGTTTTTTATTTATTATAAAAAAAAACATAATAAATAGAAAAAAAATAAGCTACTAAAATTTAAAACGCAGTTTCAATGACATTAAAAGAAACCGAGCTAATACTTTCTTCAATAGCCTTTCTTTTAAGTATGCAAATGTAGAAAAATTATATTTAGCATGGTTTTTACATGCGTTTACAAAAGAATGGCAAGTTTAAGTTAAAATGAATGCATTTGCAATTACTTTAAACGGAACCATGCTAAAACATTCTTTTTCCAAAGGCTTTTTTTAAATTTTCTTATTATCATTAAATTAATGTTTATTTGCAGTTTTTAAAGTTTTAAAAAAATTTGCAGAAATATATAAAATTTAATAGATTTTATAGAACTATTATGTTGATTATAGTTTTCATTTTTCACTGTGCGTTTAACAACAACCAATAATATAATATTTTTTTAATAAATACTTAATATTATAAATATAATAATAGCACATCAGGTATTTGATAGTAACTTATTAAATTATAAATTTAATAACTTATTAAATGCTATATTATTATTTTTTTATAATTATAAATACTATATTATTATTTTTAAAAAATTAAAATGTCAAAATAACTTTAATTTTATTTTTATATAGTTCCCTTTTATTTAAATTTTATCAAGTTTAAATCTTTTTTTTATAATTTAACTAAATTGAGAAAAATTCACTATTTTGTATTAATAGATAACAGTTTACAGTGAAAAGTTTATTGCATATTAGTTATCATTAATTTGCGCACACTTTGCAAATGCGTGAAAAATTGTTTTAAATTAATAAAAATTGATAAAATTCGATAAGTATCTTGATATATCTAATTATTATATATCTTATTAACTAGAATAAAATTAATTTGAAAATAAAACTCCCTTATAATTGAATAAAAAAATAAAAATTTAAAGAAGTTAAAATGAAACTGGCTTATTCTGGCCGACACACGGGTTCGAAGTGGAGGTGCGCAACCATCTATTAATGAAAAGAGTCCTCTATATCTTGAATTTCTCTTAAATAAAAAATATATATATATATAAAAAAATTAAAAAAAAGTGTGCATATGTGGAGGAGGGGAGGGGGTGGATATTTAACATACCTCTTAAATTAGACGTCCGTCAATAAATAAAGAAACGAACGTCAACGTTTATTAAAAAAAAAAACGATTTTTCGCGCCCTGAATTACATATAAATTGAGAATATATTTTTGTTTTGTCCTCACTTGTTTGACTATTTTTACTGTTGTTTTTTTTAATGAATATGAAACATTAGTAAAATAGTAATGTTTCAAAACAAAGGGAACTTTTATCTTTAAGCATTTATTAGTAAAATAGCATTGCAATTAAAATTTATTTTCAAAATGTTTGAATGGTTTTAACTTATAATAATGTTTTTAGTTTGTAATGTTTGAATGGTTTTAGTTTGTAATTATTTTTTTAATGTTTTTGTTAAATTAACAAACTGCTGTCTTGCTGTCCAGAAGTTTGTAACAATATTGTAGCTTAATAGTGACGAGCTCGTAATAAATATAATAGTGTTTTTAAACAAAAAATCATTGAAGATTATAATAATGGAGCTACACAAAGTGATTTATGTAAAAAGTATGAAAAATCAAAAGCAGTTATAAGCCGATTGGTTAATAAATATGAAACGAAAGGAATTGTTGAAACTGTGGACGGTCAAAAAAAAGTACTCCACATACTGATAGTAAAATTATTAAGTATGCAAAAAAGAACCCATTTGCTAGTGCAAGAGATATAACTGATGAATTCAATCTAATTATTTCAGAAAGTACTGTAAGAAGACGCTTGAATAAAGCTGGGTTGTATAGTTATCATGCAGCAAAAAAACCATTTATATCTGCAAAAAACTGTAAAGCACGTTTAGAGTTTGCAAAGACTCATAAAAGTTGGACAAAAGAACAGTGGAGAAAAATATTAAGGTCAGACGAGTCTAAGTTTAACATAAATGGTTCAGATGATAAAAGAAATGTTCGAAGGCCTGTTGGTAAATGATTAAAACCACATGTACACTATAGCAACCTTAAAATATGGAGGTGGCAAAAGCTTGATGGATTGGGGGGGCTTTTCAGGATTTTCTAGATTGGGACCACTATGTCGCATTGAAGGAATAAAGAACAAACACATATATAACAATATTCTGGAGCATCACATGTTACCTTTTGTAGAAGAAAACATGCCTCTGAAGTGGACATTCCAACAGGATAATGATCCAAAACATACATCAAAATAGTTAAAGCTTGGCTCAAAACTAATAAAGTTGATGTTATGCAATGGGCCTGCACAATCTCTTGACCTAAATCCTATTGAGAATTTATGGAAACAGCTTGATGACAAAGTATGTTTGCGTGGTAAGTTTCGAAATGCAGAAGAATTGTATCAGGAATTTCATAGTGCCTGGTCACAGATAAAACAAGTTCAAACTGTCAAACTATAAGACTCTATGCCTCATAGAAATGTTGAGGTTATTTAAAAAACAATGGATATGCCATCAATTGATCTTATGTGTTTTTGATGGTGTATTATTGAGTTATTTAATATATTTGTGTGCATTTGAAGTATTTTTTGATGATTACATTTGATTAGTATGAGGTATAGTTAAAAGTTCCTTTAGTTTTGAAGTTTAAAACATGAGCTTTTTCTTACTTTCTCCAGGTTTTTATTTGTATTAAGGTGTTTGAATATATTTAACTTCCATAAAATAGTTACTAAAACTATATTTTACTAAAATCAATACTTTTTTGTAATAAAACTAAAATTGTAATAAATCTTATATTGTGTTTTTATAAACTTTAACACATGTTCCCTTAGTTATGGAGGACAGTGTACGTGTTATTACTAAGATAACTATAGCCAGACTAAAGTAGAGGCCCAGGCAGGACAATTAATTATTCTCATAGTTTGTTGTTACAAAAATAATATAAATAAAAAATAAAATAAACACATAATAAATAATAAAATACAAAAATAAATACTGGAGAACTAAAACCTTGATGAATAACAGTGTTTCAACTTCTTCGGTTGCCATTATCTAGTTTTAAAGTTTCTTTAATTTTTCTTTTTAACAGGCATCCTGCAGTGAATCTAAAAAATATTATTTTACGGTAAATGTTTGATGTTATTAATTAGGCATGACATAAATAGACTTGTAAACAACAATAATATAACATGACCACTATGTTACCATTTAAAATTTAAAGTCTTGAGTTAACATGATATTTAACCCTTAAATCATTTAATAAAATAATTTAATAAACACAAAAATAATCAATATCAATAACATTTTGATTTTATCTAATTAAACAATAATCATTTTAGGTCACATTATTACTTAAAATAACTTTTTGATACAATTTAAACATATTGAAAACAATTAAAAACAATTCTAGTTTTGATCACAATAAATTTTGTATTAAAATTATTTTTACAATGAAAATTTACAATTATAAACAAGTTTAGAATACTTATATAATATATATATATATATATATATATATATATATATATATATATATATATATATATATATATATATATATATATATATATATATATATATATATATATATATATATATAATAGTTATCGCTTATAATTAATACTTAACTTAACGCTGCTGCTCACCATTCGTGCACCTTTACACGGATTTTTTTACCATACTTGGCCTTTGAGTTTTATCATAAATTGCTTTACTTCTGAACTCGCCTAATGGGGCTCTTTCAAATCTTAATAATCTGTCAGTATCTGCTTAATCAGTAATGAGATCAAAAACTTTGTTTCATCAGCTTAATTAGTGATAAGATCAACAATTTTTATTTGATAACTTCTGTAGTAAAGGATGAACATTATGTTATTATTGAATTAGTAAAGTAACTTTTAAAGTCAGGTGATTTATTTAAATCATGCATTTTAGTCTTTTGTCAATTGTATTTAAATTTATTAATTTATAAAATTAATCTCTAATTTTTAAATTAAAAGACGACTCAAGAAGACGTTGCTCATTTCAAAGGTCAAGAGGTCAAACTCTTGATAAAGTTAGTGTTTAAAACACTTGCATCTCACACGGTCAACTCAATGTTACATGTTAAAGAACAAGATCGTTTAATACCTTATTTAAAAGAAGTTATAAAAATCCGTATAAAAAACCAGATTGTTTGATAGTTTGTTTTTGAAAGTTGTTAAACATTTATTACGAGGTATTTCAAAAAACAAAAATAAGGTTGTATTTGTAAAGTTTCAAATTTATATATTTTTCTTAATTTATATATTTATCTATATATGTGTGTTATTTATATTGTGTTTTATTGTGTATATATGTGTTAAGGTTATATGGGTTTATATTTTGTAAGTGTGTAAATATATGAAATGTTTCAATGTTTGTGGTGTGTTATATGTAATATGTTTATAGTTTGTAAGTGATAATTATGTTGTTTGCATGGTTTCAAATTGTTGTGACTGGGCTTAGTTTACAGCAAGATTGTTGACCTCGCTAGCCAAGTGGTGTACTTTGCTATAATGTGACCTGGCTTTGTTGAGAGCAAAAATATTGTCCTCGCCAGCAGAGTGGTGTATTGTCATAATAAAACACATAAATTAATTCTGTTTGTAATTAGTGTATTTCTAAAATGTGTTGAAAAAATATTGTTTAAAAAATGTGTTTTAATGTTGTTATCCTCTGTTCTTAACAATGTATGCTTTTGACAATAAATAAATTTTGTTAAAAAGCAGGCTTTACTAACAGCTCCTCCTCATTAAAATTTTTAAGAGTTTCGATTTTCTTCATTAAATATGTTTAACTCAAATTTTTTATATATATATAAAAGTAAGTATACAGCGTGTTGAAGCATAAGTTTTAATAACTTTTGTTAAATTTTTAGGATTTTTTGTATAGAGAATGTTTTCTTTATATTATTATTTTAATGTTTTGTATGTACATCAATATATATATATATATATATATATATATATATATATATATATATATATATATATATATATATATATATATATATATATATATATATATATATAGACACACACACACAATAAAATATATAGAATTAAAATGTCTATACATATATTATATGTATAGACATTTTAATTTTTTTGCCTTAAATTATTGTCCCTTTTTCTTTAGAATATTAAATATCTAAAAAAAAATTAAAATAGTAAAAGAAGTTTCAATATTTCCAAGTTTCTTCGCTTGAAGCAAATATATGATTGTTTATAGAGGTTCTTTTAGTAGTTTTGTATTTATTTATTGCAAATCTTGCGTTAAATGCCTTTCAAAGTAATGAAAGGCTTTTGTTGATGGATGATTACATTTTATCCTTCCATGCTAGCAGTACCTGCTGAGTTGACAGGCCTTAAATTTTTTTAATTTGCTTTATTTATGAGTTCTTATATGTAAAAAATTTGTTTTTTAAATTACATTTGTTTTTTGTTTTTTTTTGATTAAATACTTATAATATTTTGTCAATAATTGATAACAACTACCATAAATATATAAACAATACTTAGTTGAAAATATTACATTAATTTATAACTTTAGTTTAAGTTTTTAATAAAACTATGTTATCTTAACACAATGCTATATATGGTAGAATATAATAGATTATAGTATTATGCTCTGTATTATTTGCTTACACTTTATTTTAGATAAGTTTAAAAAAAAAAACTTCAACTTTTATTATATTAGGCATCATTTTTACACACTCCTTTGATGCCTAATTATGTCTAATAATTTAAGAAATGAAATTATTAGACTTCGTCAAAATGAAAGAAGGCAGGCTAGGCGAGCTGAGATAAACCGCCGTCGAAATGAAAGAGATGAGCCCAGGCGAGCTGAGATAAATCGTCGTCGAATTAAAAGAGATGAGCCCCGGCGAGCTGAGATAAATAGTCGTCGAATTGAAAGAGATGAGCTCCGGCGAGCTGAAATAAATTGTAATCAAAATGAAAGAAATCAGGCTAGGCGAGAACTTAATAGGTATAATATGCATCGCATAGCAAGAAATAATATTGCTATAGAGAGTAACTACCTCGGAGATTTAAACCATAATTGTCAGTATTGCAGTGCAAAGAAGTTTTTAAATGAAACTCATTTTTTGTGCTGCCATTCAGGAAAAGTTGTATTAGCTCCTCTTTCTCTTTATCCGCCATTGTTGACTGGTTTAATGACAGGAAACTATGTTGATCATGCTGTAAATCAAAATTTTTTAAACACATAAGGAGTTATAATTCCTCTTTATCTTTTGCTTCCTTCACTGCCGAAATAGCTCCTCCTCAAATAATGGCCCTTTCTGTTTTAGGGTCTGTGGGCAAATTTTGCATCGTGTTGGAAATTTAAGGCCTGCAGAAGGTTGTCTGCCCAAATATTGTCAGCTGTATATCTATGATCCTAATGCAGCAGTGTCATTCAGAATGGAACAACCTGGTAATGATGGTTGTATACATGAGTTAATGCAACTCTTGCAAACATTAATTAATCAAGAAAACCCATTTGCTCTTGCATTTAAAAACATGGCAGAAGTAGAGGATGAAGAAATCCGCCAAGCAGCTTAATATTTATGAAACAATGATTCAATTTAAATTGTATTATAAGTAGCTCTGTTGAATAATTTTTTTTTTTGTAATTTGTACTAAAGGTTATATTTTTATTTTATATCAAGAAAAATATGTTTTTAAGTAAATATCTATATTTTTTTATTTTGGGATTTATTGGTTTAAATGGATATAAAAATTATTTTTGCTTTGTCTTTCATATTTCCTTTTATTATATATGAATAGGAACCATTTATGCTTTAATCACCATTAGCACTCGAAGTTTCCATTTGCATTAAGTATCGATTTTTGGCACACACAACAGGTTTAATAACTTAGGCAGTAAAAACAGCTTGAATGATTTGTTAAGAGTCTTTAAAGAAACGCTTTTACGAAAAGCATTAAATAGATAAAGCTAACTTATTTAAAATAATAAGTCTTTAACCCGTTTTTCTATATCCAAATTTACTTTTTAAATAAATGTTGATGAAAGGGTAAAATAATATCGTTATAGCCTACGTTAATTTTAAATTCTTTTTAAATTAAAGGAAAGAGTTTTGATACTTATTTAAATAGGGTTAATAAAATATTTTAAATTATATTATATATATTATATTTAAGAAATTATTAAACTAAATTAAATAAGATTTTTAGATGAAACAGTAAAAATAATTGTTTAAAATACGTGCGTGCAAATAATTCCTACAAACACTAAACGTAAAATAACGCTTACAAACACCAAAAGTATGTTTGCAGTGAATAAAGTTAAGTTCAAAGATAAATAGAAAGAAATGTTTAAAACTGTTTCAGTAATAACATTTATTTTTAATTACTTTTGTTGTAAGTTGGGATGAAAAAAAAAGTCACTGGAGTATGAACTCCTGGGGTAAGATGACTATATCTGTCTAAGTGTTGCGCGTCTACCAATTAGCCCATAAACGTATTTTCTATTTAGAATTTAAGATTATTTATGACGCATAAGAAGTGTAATTAAAAATTCAAAACCAAGTTTGCAACAACTGAGTTTAAATAAAATCTAATTAGATGTGTATATGTTATGAACGTTAACTAAGGCGTACTTTAACGGCGTCACGTGTTGAATGTTTTAGCATTTTTCTAAGTTCGTAGTCTTTTTTACGTTTTTTCTTATTAAAGTTTTTATAATCGGCATAATATTAAAATCGTTTGAAGTTTTTAAAAGAACATTTTAACAGAAATGTTTTTGTCATATCAAAAAGTAAGTATAGTTTTTTATATGTACATTTTTAAACGGTTTTAAAAAAATATTGAGGTAAGGAATAAGTATAGAAAAGGTCGGTGTGGAATAGATTTACTAAGACCCTTAGTTTACGTCCGGATAGCTATAGATAAGTATAAAAATGGTCGGTTCGGTAAAGACCCGTATTTTACGGGTCACCCCAGCTAGTATTCATGATTATTCAAACATAACATATTTCAATTACCATGGACTAAAATTTATTGGTTAATTTCATGTTGTCTTTGAGCTACATTTTGTGATTATTTATTAAATTTATTTTACAGCAGATTCTAAAAAATATACAACACCCTAATAAATTGGTTTAAAAAATCATTAAACATAGTTAACTTTTAAACTTTACCTCATTGTGACAATGGCAGCAATAAAAATAAAAACAAACTACCATTACCAAATGAAATATCAAATGAAGTTCATGTGAAAAATGTATATCAAATGTATATTCATTTCAAATCATGTCACACAACTATATATGTAGTTTTTAAAGTTTTTTATCTTATATATTCATCAACTTTTAATGAAAATAATGTAGAACAAACTATTTTTGATCTAAAAATATATTCTATCATAATAACATTCACAGTTCCTAGCAATTCACAGTCCATCTTCTATTCATAGAATTTATTCATTCACAGAAGCCTAGGTCAATAATAGGAAAAACCTGAATATTATGCAAATTCTATATATTTTTAACGCACGGAAAAGTATTAATATACAGAAATTTATTTTATTAAACTCTGTAAACTAATAGTTTGAGATATTAAAACTCGTGGAAAGTAAAACTTTCCTAAACTTTCTGAAACAAAAGTATTCAAATTATGTTGTCAGATTAAGTGTAAACTTACTAGATTTAGATGAACCATTTTATGGGAGATTTTGTAATGTATTTTCTGTTGTTATAAATCAATACAAACCAACTCTAAAAACAAAACATAGATACTATTAATCCTCTTAAAAAAATTTAATAAGGTTTTATTAAAATTTAAAAGTTTTATACAAAAATAACATAAATAAAAAAGGTATTACCAAAAAAATTTTATATCTTTTTTATATCTTTGCAAACAAACATATTATATATGACTATATGATATCATAACACAATAGAGATTGATTTACTACAGCAAGTGAAAGATTCATAACATTCATAATTATTCAAACATTCAGTTTTTGCAATATTTAATATCAAAACTACATTTTCAATTTTATATTGCACTTGAGTAGCATTTTATGATTGTATATTTAATTTATTTCACAATATTTTCTAAAAAAATTATATAACATCCTGTGATAATCAATTAAAAAACATCTTAAAACCCTAAAATTCAATATTTCCTTCTTTTAGACTAGCCAAATTGTTTCTTAAATAAATGTCTGAATATTGCTATCAATATGTATACACTTTTATATTTTAAAGAATTAAAAAAATGTATTTAATAAATAAATGTATTTTAACAAAATGTGATAATTTTTAAAACACCTAATCATTTTTGTTATTACTTTTATTAGTTACAAATAATTCACAATATAAACAATTTAAACATTTTTTCATATAAAACATTATATCATAACTTATAATATCAGTTACAGTTTTTATAACATAAGTAATTTATTATTAACTATATTACTTATAGAAAATGTAAAACGTTAATGTATTTATAAATAATATGTAAAGGTTATGTAAAGTGTTTTGTAAAGTGACATTCAGATTTGCTTGAAAAAGATAATTTAAAATGAAACAGACTAACTTAGTGTATTTTTGTAACTTAGTGACTAAGCCATAACTTGTAAGTGCACCTAACCATATAAACTAATTTGAAAAATTTTCAACATTTGTCTATCGCATATAAAAATATATATATATATGCCTTCAGTTTGATAAAACATTTTACATGTCTGTAAAAAAGTAAAGGTTGACATATTCTCAAACTTACTAATGGCTATGAAATTTAGACCATTTAAGAAGTTTACAAGTACACCACGTTTTTTTTTTTTTTTTGTAAAATTGTTGGTTAAATGAATGTCTAAATATTGCTATTAAAATATTTATACTTTTATTATAAAACTAAAACTGATATGTAAATAATTATTTTTAAACAAAAATACTAAAAATGAACCAAATTAAGTTCATTCAAAATGTAAGTGTATATTCAATCCAAATCAAGCATTACTGCATATGTAATTTTAAAAGATTGCCGCAGTTGTTTCACCATATGGAACCCATCTTTTACCCAGTTCAAATCCCAGCTATAACTTAGTTCCAGTAATCCAGTTACATCTCAGCTGGGACCCAGTTGTTGTGGTTTAACTGGGCAATTAATAATTTTTATTATTAATTACTATTATTTACAAATAATTCACAATATAAATTATTTAAATATTTTTTCATGTAAAACCTTATACTGCAAATTAAAATTTAAGTTATAATATTTATAATATAACTCAAATTACAAATATCACTTTACAAAACATAGTATAACTATGTTTTGTAAAGTGATAAAATTACTATTAGTAAGGTTTTACCAAGTGACACTGCTATATATAAACTTTATATATCATTTATAAATGCATAATATAAATTTAAGATTTAGCATTTTCTATAAGTTATATATTTGATAATATATTACTTATACTATAAAAAATATATTTATTATATTACTTATAAAATATTAAATATCTTACATATAATAAATGTATGATTTTAGTTTTTTTTTTAATGTATGCAAGTATGTAAAATTTACATGTAATTTATAAATACATAACCCATTTATTAAATGATTTATGTAAAAATAAATAATATGTTAAGTTTACATACAACAGTAAGTAAAATACATACACATAGTAAAAGATATATAGCAAAACTTTGCTATGCTTTGTAAAAAAAAATTGTCAAATTTACTTTACAAAACATAGCGACTTTAAAGGTTTTTCAAAAAGTCTTTGAGATTTGTTTGTAAAAAAAAGATTAAATTAAACACACTAAGCCATTTCTGTAAGTACGCTAAACTATGTAAACAATTTTAAAAAATATTCAATATTTGTCTATTGCATAACTACAGAATATGCCTTCAGTTTAATAATACATTCAAAACAACACGAGTATGAAAAAAAGTAAGCGTTATAATCTCAAACTTATTAATAGCTCAGAAGTTCAGCCTGAATTTAAACCTGAATTTTCATTTCTCAAATTTCATAAATGCAGGGCATTTAAGAAATTTGATAGCATGTCATACTTCTTTTTTGTGTTTATTGATATTGTAAGATAGCATGTCATACTTCTTTTTTGTGTGTGTGTGTGAAACCGTTTTTTATATTGATGACTTAATTTTGATTTTAACATATTTACACTATTAATATAGAATTAAAACTGATATGTAAATGTTTTTTACAAAAATACAATAAAAAAACCAAATGAAGTTCTTTTGTGTATTTACTCCAAATGCAAGTGTATATTTAATCTAAACCAAGCCACGTTACTGCATATGACATTAAAAAGAATTTTGTAATTTTATTTCAAAAAAACTTTTTAATAAAAACGATGCCAAAAAAACTCTTTTAATTAGAAAAACCACGCCACGAGTCCCAGCCGTAAACCATTCATGCCAATCTCAGATTTTATTTGCGCCATTATTTTCATACCATATGGGGCCCATCTGGCATCCAGAAGAAATCCCAGCACCAACCCAATCCCAGTAATCCCAGCTCAATACCAGTCAATCCTAGCTGGGATCCAGGCTGGTTAACTGGGAATATAGTCATCATCAGTTAAAATATACTTGTTTAAATCAACATAAAGTATAGCACAAAATTGTAAAAATTAACATAAAAAAAGCCATAAAATTAATACAAAATTCCTATATATTTCTACCCAGTAAACACGGGAACGTGCAAAAAACGTACAATGAACGTTCAGACGGAATGCCTCGGACGCGTTCTAACCTGATTCTAGAGAAAACGCTCTAAGACGCCCTTTTTAGACGTTCTAAAGACGTTGTAAAAAGACTTAAATAAGACTTTCCGCTTAAGTTCAGTAAAACAAAGTTGGTCCATAAAACACGTCTTTTAAACGTTCAAAAGGCGTTCTTAACGTCTTTTGAATGTTCAAAAGACATTTGTTTTGCAATGAGCATCAGAATCAATCACAATTGAAAAGTTCATTTGTTCTAAATAAAAAGCAAAGGAAATACTTCTGTTGATGTGCAACAATTAGTAGCTCAGTTTTTCATCAATTTTTCAAAATCAATTTACTCGGTCTCAGTAAGTTTTGAAAACTCATATACCAACATCTTTATCAGATTTATCTATGATATTCGACATCTTTTTCGCAATTACATCCAAATTTTTCAAAATTGATATATGTATAAATATACTTATATACCCAGCAAGCACAATCAACGTTGAAAAACCGTTGAAATTTATAGTTGAAAAATGGTTGATTTTTGGTTGAAATGGAAACAAAAATCAACGTTGAAAAAAAAAACGTTATATCAACGTTGAAAAATCAACGTTAGATTAACATTGATTCAACCAACTTATACATGAGTTTGTAAACCTCAAAAGTACAACTTTTTGCGCCTTGACTCTTTTAATCCGAAAAAACGTATATTTTTTGTACAATATTGTGTTGTTATGAGTAAGAAAAGAAACAATAGTTTTTCATAAACTTATAACAGCTGTCATAGTACAATATCTTATGCTATTATATTGCATATTATGTTCTCAATTTTTACAGCTTTTATTATTATTAGTAGTATTAATAATTTATTTTATATTATAATACTAACTGCTGTTATAGTATTACAAATAATCTGCCCTGTACCATTTTTTTTTACGCAGGTAACTAAATTATAGAAATTGAAAAGCCGTTATTATGAGTAAATAAAACCAAAAAAATAATTAAAACATTTTTAGAACAAAAACTTTTACAAAATTAAAATTATTTTCAAAACAATCTTGATAAAATCATGATATCTTCATCTTTAACACCAATGTCAAATTCATATGTATTTTTCTCGCCTGCTGTCGTCATCTAAATCTACATCTAAATAAAAATAACTTTAAATTAAGTGTACATTTGGTAAATTAAAGGTAAATTTGTACATTTTAAAAGTATTATTATACTTTACATTGTTCACAAGCGAATGTGAACATTTAGTGATCAATAGTGGGTAAAAAAAACAACCCATATATGATCCATGCCTAATTTACTTAATTATTGACCGAGATATAAACCTATTTGAATAAATATGCATTATACATTAACGTCATATATCAACGTATATACACACATAACAAAAACCTTTTAGGCAGTTAAATATGCTTAAGTCAAACATTCGTTTAGTAGAACCATTTCGTTGGTCTCCTGGAGGGTTAAGATATCTGTAATTAACTGTATATATATATATATATATATATATATATATATATATATATATATATATATATATATATATATATATATATATATATATATATATATATATATATATATATATATATATATATATATATATGTATATATATATATATATATGTATATATATATATATATATATATATATATATATATATATATATATATATATATATATATATATATATATATATATGTATATATATATATATGTATATATATATATATATATATATATATATATATATATATATATATATATATATATATATATATATATATATGTATATATATATATATATCGGTGGGAACAGCGCAAAGAAATATAATATACATACCAATAACACCTTGTAAATATTTAAAATCCATTTTCTTTTGTTTATTTTGTTTTAGATTACGTCAAGTAAAACTTTGTTCTTTAATTTGCCATTGACCTGCCAAATCAAAATAAATTTAATCAAAAAAAAACAAAAACAAAAACAGTAAAATTACAAATCAATTAAATTAATGGAATACTCAAATCACAAATTAAAAAAATAATGAAATCATGGCAAAAAAATGTGATAAACAAAATCTTATTTAAAATCTTAAAAATCAGACATGAATACAACTGATAGGTTAGAGTTATTAGACAAACTAATCTAGACTAATCTATACAAATGTGATTAGATACTCAACGGATAAACGATGAAAGAAAGAAAAAAAAATATATATATATATATATATATATATATATATATATATCTTCAAATGATTTTAATATTCATCTTTAAATTAAAGATGAATATTTAAATTATTTAAAGATATTTATATATATATATATATATGTATATATATATATATATATATATATATATATATATATATATATATATATATATATATATATATATATATATATATATATATATATATATATATATATATATATATATATATATATATATATATATATATATATGCAAAATATACAATCAAAGTGTTATTATAATTATAAAGACTTTATTTTATCTTCATATAAAAATTTAATCCGAATTCATATAAAAATTTATATGAACTTGCAGTATACACAAGTTTTGCATTTTATATAAAATATGCAAAATTTGTGTATACTGCAAATTCATATAAATTTTTGTAAAATTATACATATTTTCATAGCAAAAAAATCTTTTAATGTTTTTACTTTTATTACATTAATACTTTTATTAAATGTTTTTAAAGAACTTTTCACGCACTAATCTATGTGAAATAATAAATTTTATTTTAATTCCGAATTAGTACATTTGCGTTGGTGAACTTTCGTATCAAAATTTCAAAGTAATTTCAACGTTATTTTAACGTTTATTTTTCAACGTTAATTCAACGTTTGTTTTTAGTTGAAAATCAATGTTGAAATTTCAACGTTTTTTTTTTTTAACGTTGAACTAACGTTGAAGTTGAAATTTAGATCGTTATTTTTCAACCATATATCAACCATTTCTCAACGTCGAAAAATTTGAAATAACGTTATGTGCTTGCTGGGTAAAATCAATAATTGAGTCAACATCGTTTCAAAAATACGAAGTTCTACAAACACTCATATGAGATAATATTTTTCATCATCTGTAGCATATACTTCTTCTTCACTTGTTCTTGAATCCTTTCTTTTAAATCAAAGGAGTCTTCAATCCATTATGTAATATATTTTATCAGTGTGAAAGTTTAAAAAATGGTTGTTAATCATAATATATTATATATATATATATATATATATATATATATATATATATATATATATATATATATATATATATATATATATATATATATATATATATATATATATATATATATATATATATATATATATTCATTCCATTCAATATTAAATCATATTAAATTTTTTAATAATTAAATATAAAATTTGAGTAGATGTTTTTTTTTGAATTTCTTTTCTTATTTTTAAGCCATATATCATTTCTTGACATATTATGACGATATTATTATCTTATATAACAAAACAATAAAAGTTGTATAACACTTTTGTGTTTGTCCCAGTGGTCACGCGTCGTTCAAAAGACGTCCGATGGACGTCTCAAGGACGTTCAGACGTCCGTAAGAAGTCAAACGGACGTCCTCAGACTACGCATGCACACTGAGGTGTGTACAATGTGTTTTGTCATTGCTAGTCATTCCAGAGGATTTTTTTTGTCAATATATTTATATATAATAAACACAGTTGTATAGAACTTAAAAAGATTTAAAAAATTGAGGGGTTTTTCAAATTTAGAAGTTAATTGTATCCAAATTTATTGCTTTTTGTGTGCTGGAAAAACTGATGATTTTTTGACGAAACGCCTTGTCCTTAAATATGGAAAATTTGGCGTGAAATAGCATCAAAACAACATAAAAAACATCAAAAATCAAGCGCAAAAATCAAAAAATTGATACACAAAAAAATAAAAAATATTATATACAGAATTTCTAAACAAGTTTCTTAAGCACCGTTTCTTCAAGAATACATAAATAAATACTTGATTTGAATAGTAGAAAAATTACACTCGCTTATTTCACAGAGAACCTTTTTAGAGAAAGTTTATCTTTTAAATAAACCGACTTTAAAGTTTTTAAACGTTGAGAACTAATTATGTAAAAATGTTAAAAGGGGTTCCTCATTCCATTAGATTTCTTACCTTTTTTTTAACCTATATGTAAATTTTCAAACAAATTTAATGTGTTTTGCTACTTAGGAAATCTTACCTTCAAAAACTACTTATGAAAAAACGTTTCCTGTGACAAGTTTTTTTTATCTAGAGTGGTTTCAAGACATGAATAAAATAGAATAGAAGCCATGTTAAACATTGCATTTTTTATATACGGTTGGAAAGAAATTGAGTCAAACTATGGTTCTCGATTTATTATAAAAAAAGAGAGTGAAGTTCATGAAAATTACGTGTTTTTTGTCAAAAACAAAATGTTTTTCGTTGCGCTCTGGAATCGCTATCATTGAATATACAATGACAATATAGATTTTATACATAATGTATATAATACTATGAAAAATCCATATAAAGGAAACGAAGGGTAAAAAAAATTAATTTCAGTAATAACTGTGGCAATAACAAGAAAATTTGTAAAAAGTATTGATTACTTATAGTATTTTCATTCAACAATGTTGTTGATTAAAAGTAATTATTACTTTAAAATATTGTTTATTAAAACTTGTTACAAATTTTGGGCAAATATTTTTTAGTTCATTTAGGCTGTATTTATAGTTTAATAAAAAAAACAAATGCAGTTTTTGATATAATTATCTATATTCAAAAAAATTCAGTTTGAATTTTTGATATAATTATCTATATTCAAAAAAATTCAGTTTGAATTCAGTTGAAGGCTTAGATTAATTTTTTTTATTTATTTATTTCATATTAAGTTTTAGTACATACTTCATATGTACTAAAACTTAATATAAATCAATTTGTTACAAAAATCTAAGAAGTAATCTATTAATGTAAAAATGATTAAATTAATAATTTACAATCTAATAACTCTTTATGAAACCGTTACTTTTTATTGTTTAGATTTCAATGTTATTTCGAGATTAAATAAAAAATGGCGTACGCATTTGACAACTAAAAAAAAATCTACGAAAAGTTAATAAAAAACTATATACTTTTAATTAATTAAACCATAAAACTAAATATTTTTGATTGATACTAATAAAGCGAGAATTAAATTTTAGTTTACATATTTGTTTGATCTGTGTTTTATTATGAAGAGGCACTCTTCCGAATGTAATTAAGTTTTTTGAACGTTCCACGCTGACCAATAAAAATGTTTTAAGTTCTAAAAAGGTCTAAGACGTTATGAACGTTAATTGAACGTACATTGTACGTTTTTTGTACGTGCAGTGTTTGCTGGGAATGTCTCAGTTACACTTGCACAAAAACTTAAGAAAAGTTTTTATTTCATTTTCATTTTCATTTATATATATATATATATATATATATATATATATATATATATATATATATATATATATATATATATATATATATATATATATATATATATATATATATATATATATATATATATATATATATATATATATATATATATATATACTACTGTGATCAAAAAGTAAGGTGAATTTTTTTTTAAAATGAAAAATCTTTATTTATACTTCCAAATCTGTATCGTCCCTTTCAAAATAATCTCCCCCGGCCCCAATGCACTTTTGCCAACGTTTTTTCCAGTCTTCGAAGCATGCCGAAAAGTCCTCGGTAGGGATAGCCTTCAATGCGCGTGCCGATTCACGTTGGATCTCTTCAATGGACTCAAAACGATTTCCCCGGAGTGGCCTTTTGAACTTTGGGAACAGCCAGAAGTCACACGGTGCTAAGTCGGGCAAATATGGTGGTTGTGGAGCAACATGGGTAGAGTTTTTGGCCAAAAACTCACGAAGAACCAGTGCTGTGTGCGAAGGCGCATTATCGTGGTGCAAAATCCAAGAGTTATTGGCCCATAATTCCGGTCTCTTTTTGCGAATAGCTTCACGCAAACGTCGCATAACGCTTAAATAATATTCTTTGTTGACAGTTTGCCCAGTTGGAAGGAGTTCGTAGTGCACGACACCACAATAATCAAAGAAAACAGTCAACATGACCTTGATTTTTAAGCGACTTTGACGTGGTTGCTTCGGTCTCAGCTCGCCTTTTTCACGGTATTCACTCGATTGGTCGGTTGTTTCAGGGTCGTATGCGTAGACCCAAGTCTCATCGCCAGTAATAATTTGTTTGTAGACGTCTTGATAGTCAGAAAGCATTGCTTCACACGCTTTAACGCGACACTCTTTTTCAAAGAAATTGAGAAATTTCGGCACCAAACGTGATTTGGGTCTTCTGAGGCCCAAATGATCCTTCAAAATTGCTTACACCAACCCAAATGATATTCCAACCGTGTCAACAAGGTCTCGAATGGTTAACCGACGATTTGCAAGCACCAATTCTTTGATTTTGTTGATGTGGCGATCATCAATCGTAGTCGATGGTCGTCCGGAGCGTTCCAAGTCATCAACACGTTCTCGGCCTTCTTTGAAGTCTTTGTACCACTTGTAAACAATTTTTTGAGACATAGTCTCTTCACCGAAGGCCTTTTGCAACATTCGATACGTTTCAGCAGCAGAAATATCATTCCGCAAACAAAATTTAATAGCACTTCTTTGCTCAACAAAATTAGACATCGTGAAAATCGCCGAATGCACTTTTGGTACTTCAGAAACAAGCGTAAACAAAAAAAAAATAATTATGAGTTTGAAATGTAATTAGGCGCAAATGTTAATGACATTCCTACCAACTTAAAAATGAAAAAGATTGGACGATTCGAATAAGGCGGGAAGTTTAAATTAAAAATTCACCTTACTTTTTGATCACAGTAGTATATGATGTATACACACACACACACACACACATGTATAAATATAAATTGAATTATATATAAATGATATTTATTCGTAAATTGCATTAAATTTTATGCCTAAAACAAATATTATCATTATTTTCATTATTATATTTATTTGTTTTAATATCAAAACGCAATATAAACATCTGCCTCAGGTGGATCTCAAAGTCTTTTTATCAAAAATTTTAACTGTTTTTAGAAAATTTAACGTATAAATTTAAGTGAGCGAATTTAGAGTTTACATACATCAGAAGCACCGTCCGATATTAGTGAAATTATTAACGGTTTGCTATTGTATAATGAACACAAGATATCACGCATGGTTTTAGGAATTTCTATAGCGTTGCAGTTTCATCTCTAGTACTACTATGATCAAAAAAAATCTCTTTGGATATCAATAAAACTAGGTATATTATACTTTATTGCTAATATAAGTTCGATGACTTGCCTCTGCAACTTCATCAGCTAACCATAAATAACAATATTGTAAACAAAGTAGCATCACTTAAAACCTTACGAATAATATTTGATGAACATTTTAAATGGAACAATCATATTACACTTAATTAAAACTAAATTTCTAAAACTAAGTTGCATTTGACTATTAACATCAGTGTTGCATTTACAATGGTATAATCTGAACTGCGGAAAATTTATGTAAAAAGTGGTAAAATGCAAGAAGTGGCATAAATTTCTCCTTACCCTAACCATATTGCTGCTCTAAACCAAACCCTGATTCAATATATCAGCAATCCTTTGCATGTGCTCCCTAAATCAGTCAATGTATCCACTGAAAAGCCGATTTCCGTTCATGAACTTTATTCCCGCATTTTACCAATTAAAAAACGTAGCATTTCCGTATTTCGTTTTTTTTTTAATATTATAAAGTACCTCATAAGTAAACATAATTCGGCAAGTGATCGCAAGGTTGCGACTTCGTAAGTATAAAACTATTAAATTAAATAAATCATTTTATTTAGAAATAAAAATGAACAATATATGATTAGTTCAGATATGCAACTTGTTTGTCATTGTTCACATATAGACTCATTATATATATATATATATAAATATATATATATATATATGTATATAATTATAATATGTATATATATATATGTATATATATATATATATATACATATATATATATATATATATATACATATATATATATACATATTATAATTATATACATATAAATAGTATATAAATTTATTATTATTTATAAGTTATATAATGCTATTCCATTTTTTAGCCAAGATTACAATTTAGTGCACTGAATTCTTGAGAACGTCAACGATTTCTGCCTATCTGCTTTTATACAAAATATTTTTTTCAAAAACCAATTTGATTTTAAATTGAAAAGAAAAGTTCGGAACTCCCGATTATACCAAACGTTAACAATAGGATTTATTGATGCGGATAACTTTGCAAACAAAGCTGCACTTGTTGATACCATTGGTGGAATAGAACTGTTGAAAACAGATAAAAAACCTACGACTGCATAAGGACTCCATGCTAAGGTATACAAAATTGTAGATGCTGCACACATGTTAAAGTATTTTATTTCCAATTCTTTAATTTTTTTCTGATACTCAACTGAAGAGTGTCTTCTTCGACGAGAAGAGCTTTGATTGGCTAAGGTAGCATACTTTTTACAAAGTAATAGAGTAAGTATTGAAATAAACGGTAAAATAAAAACAAACAAAATAACACAAATTATATAAGAGAAACTATCTTTTTGTTCTAAACGCCAGTCTAAGGAACAGCGTTTTTCGTCAATATCTTTAGCGTACTTTGACCATTTAAAAAGTGGAAATACTGGCCAAATGATTCCGTAAATGTAACATAAAATCAATAAAATAATTGACAGCTTTTTTTTTGAAAAAGTTGTAACATAAAAAACAGGATACTTTATTGCCACAATTCTTGAAACCGACAGCACAAGAAAATGCATTAAAACAACGACGGCAAAAATAAACGTTAATAATGATGATCCTATACAAATCCATGATCCATTTCCGGATGTCGTTACTTTTATGAAATCTAATTGAGCAAGCAGATCAGGAACATATCCTAAAGTCACCTGCAATATTTCACAAACGGAAATACTGGCGTTAAATAAATTTGAAATGTTTATATAAGAATATCGTTTTTTGAGAAAAGTTAAAAGTAGAGTATTCATTGTAAGTGTAAATATTAGAACTAAGCATATAAAAGTTGATTCTAGAGCTTTGCTCATTTTAATATTTGTCTTAAAAACCGATTTTGTGTTCCAACTTGTTGAAATAATTCGAAATTCTAATCTCTGTGAAATTTCAGCATAATTAATCTAAAGAAATTAGTATAAGCAAGTAGTCAACCAATATAGAAGATTATAACGGTCAGAGTCGTCACCCTTAGTTATTTAAGCTAAATAACATTTTGTTAAAAATGTTGTTTAGCTTTAACTGTTTAGCTGTTAACGACTTTATCTACGTCAACTAATAATAAAGTTAAAAATAAATGTTCTAAAAAATTTCATTTGCTTATAAAGTTCTTTTTATAGCTAAAGTTTTAATAGAATAAAATACTTTAATTTATATATATAAAAAAAAAAATTCTATATAAATAAATTTTCGACCTAATTTACTAGCTGTCGCATAAAAATGATTGTCTTACAAAATGCGTGAACCACGTAAGATTATATATATATATATATATATATATATATATATATATATATATATATATATATATATATATATATACATATATATATATATATATATATATATATATATATATATATATATATATATATATATATATATATATATATATATATATATATATATATATATATATATATATATATATATATATATATATATATAATTTTAGCTTAAAATATATTTATTACTTAGATGTTCTACTTTCGCCAACTCTCTTAAACATTTTCTATTTTAATGACATTTTTCTATAATAATGTCCTTTATTATTTTTTTATTATTACTTTTTCCATCATTCTGATAGTAACTGGATCGAGAAACATTGACTTATTTACTCTTACTCTTATTTATTTTCTGTACCAGAATACTGATAGAAAACAAAGCTAATACCAAATTCCTTGTATTTTTAAAATTTAAAAATTATAAAGTTTTATTAAAATAAATTAAAATTAAAAATGGTAGTATAATTATAAGATTTCTTGTTAAAAACATTTCAAATTACAAATACCAGAAGTTAAATTTTTAAAAATAACTGAAACAAAGTCGCTTATATAGATGATGTAAACTTAAATCAAATATAGATTATGTAAACATTTCAACCGTTTATATAATAGCAACAATTTTATTTAAATATAGAGAGAGATTACAATACGGTTTAAAATTTACTTTATGTAATATTAGATTATACTTAAATATAATAATTTCTTACGGTTCAAACTAACTCTAAAAATAAATAAATAATAATTCATTTTTTGTAAAAACAGCTATATTCTACTATTACGTGCTTATGTTCGAACTCTTCATGCATTAAATTAATTTTTTTTTCTTTGTGTTGAAAAAGTATAGATCTTCGTATTTTTTAAATGTTTTAACTTTGGTTTTAGTTTTTAGACGTTTTTAGTTGAAGTCTTTGTTCAGTTTTTTTTCAAACTAATTTTTTTAGTAGATTGACATTAGAAAAAGAAAAAAAGAAACCGCTTCTTAGTGAATCAATTTTTTAAATGTTCATAAAATGAAAGGGTTCTAAATTTCATTTGTTCGTACCTTTTTAGCGCCAAAGTGAAAATTTTAATAAAGATTAAAATCTCAGTATAAATTATAATCGGATTTAAGATTAAGACATTATTTTTAGCTAACTGCCCTAAACCATGGGGTTACTGAGGAAATTTCTTGATGGTATTTTGTTACAACTTGCAAACCGTATGGCGATGGTCTCAGACCAAAGTTTTTTTAATTTAAAGACCGATTGTGAAAGATTAACACAAAACCCGCCAAATTTCAAAAAAACTAGTCTCAAACTATATGTATGATAATTTGTTTAAATTAGAAAGTTTTTTAGAATATAATTGAGTCTAATTTAGAAAAAACTAAAAAAACAAAAACATTTTATTTTAAAATAAGCCAGCGAAGATTAAGACCTCATTCAGAAAATAGGAGATTTGTTTTGTTGTGAAAGTTTTTAAAGACAAAAAATGTTTGTCGTTGAAGAGGACTAGTTATTTAGATCAAATGATTCCTACAAAGAATTTATTGACCATGAATTTAGTTTGAAAATAAAATTTGAAAAGATTACACTAAAAAAATTTCTTTGCTTAAAACGCTCTCAAATAGTTGGCCTTAGTATTTATCACTCTTGCAACAAAAAAACAACTATTCAAACCCTCTGTTTCCGTAAATGCTTTAAAGAACCCAATTGTCGCTGACTGTTTTTTCTTGTTCTCTTAAAGGAAAACCTGGCAGTGCAAATATAAAATATGCAGTAGGAGGAAACTCTTTTCTTTGTAAAGCCTGTGAGACCAATCTCCTATAAGAAATATAAAAAAAAGTTGTGCGAAAAAGCTTGAATGAAAGCTGTATAAGATCCGGAATATAGGAGAGAATCTGGGCTGATGTTACTCACATATCACGCAGTGGCGGATTAAGACTATTTGGGGCCCGGTGCTATTTTTGTTTTTGGAGGCCTTTTTACGGGCCAGAGCCTAAAAATGACTTGACAAAAAAAACAAAAAAAAAACGATAAATAAATAGAGAGGACTATAGCCCCGGGCCCCTAAATTTGAGGTGCCCGGGGCTATAGTTCCCCTAGCCCCCCCCCCTCATTGATCCGGCACTGATATCACGCTACTGGGATAATTTTTACGATGTTATTTTTTTTATTTTTTTTTTATTTGAGTTTTCATGCTATATTTTTCTATACAATGTTCTTATATCCGAATGTTTGTTGGCTAAGCATAGGAACAGCCACAAATAGTCATTAAGACTAATCCAAAGTAGCGTCCGTTATTGACCAACATTTTTGCGTACCGAAGTACTACTCAAGCGCTAAGTTGGCGGTGGCGGGATTTGAAATCGTATCGTTCAACAATTCAAAAGTGGTAGAAATCTCTACAGTATAATAAACTAAACTTTTTAAAAAAGGTTAACTTTTTTAAAAAGTTTCGTTTATTATACTGATTTATCTTTGCAAATAAATCAAATGAGTTCCTTTAAGAAACTAGGTTTTTTTAATTCAGTTGTACGTGTTGGTATTGATGGAGGACATAGATATTTTAAAATTGTCATTAACGAGTTTGACATTTAGGATATCTAAATGAGAATGTCAAATTAATGATGAGGATTATTAAATTGACATTCTCATTTAGATATAAAAATTAAAAAACATATATAATTAAATATATAAGAAATTAAGTTTAACAAAATAATGTAAACATTAAACTTCAAAGATGTTATTTGACTTTAAAATTTCTCTTCAGACATAAAACTTATATGAGTTTACTGATTTTACCTTATTAAATTAGTTACTTGAAAAGCTGTTCCGTATCTTAGGACCTCGACATGTTAAACTTTATTCTTTATATTTACTTAATTTACGAGGCAATGAATAGTGAGCCTCTCGTTTGATCTCAGTTGTTGTTTATTTTTTTTCTTAAACTTTTATTTTAAAACATTTTGTTTGAGAATTTTAATCTGATTATAAATAAAAAATTGTTAAAATCTGTTTATCTAATATGCATTGATCATTTCCTTGTCAATGCTTTGAATGCTTAGCTGTTTTTGCACACTAAATATCTTTAAAGTTGTTTAGGTTAAGGTGCTTCATGAATTCCTTACACGAACTTCATGAAGCACCTTCCCCAGGACTAATACACGGTATAAGTGCTGCAGAAGAGCATTTAACTAAAAATTCATACCTTTTTTCTTACCAATGTTGCTAATTGGGCTAGAGCTGGTATCGAACTACAAGCTACTTATATTATTCTCACTATTGGTTATAAACAAATTAGTATCATCAGCACATTACAGAAGTTGTTTATATACATATATATATATATATATATATATATATATATATATATATATATATATATATATATATATATATATATATATATATATATATATATATATATATATATATATATATATATATATATATATATATATATATATATATAGATATAGATATATATATATATACATATATATATATATATATACATATATATATATATATATATATATATATATATATATATATATGTATATATATATATATATATATATATATATATATATATATATATATATATATGTATATATATGTATATATATATATATGTATATATATGTATATATATGTATATATATATATATATATATATATATATGTATATATATATGTATATATATATGTATATATATATATATATATATATATGTATATATATATATATATATATATATATATATATATATATATATATATATATATATATATATATATATATATATATATATATATATATATATATATATATATATATATATATATATATATATATACTGCTAAATTAGAGGCGTATGGTTTCTCTAATGAAAGCCTAAAGTTTTTTATATCGTATATTAGTGGTCGTAAACAAAGGTTTAGAATAGGACCTTCTGTTTCTAATTGGGTTGATATTTTATCGGGATTGCCTCAAGATTCCATCCTTGGCCCCATCCTTTTAAATAACTTTATAAATGATATATTCTTATTTATTAAAGATACTGAATTGTGCAGCTTTTGCAGATGATAATACGCTGTATGCCTGTGATTACAGCTTAGAAAAAGATATTTTTCGATTGCAAAAAGAAGCAACTAATACCATTGCCTGGTTTAAGTTGAACTCGATGGTTGCCAACTCTGATAAATTTCAATTACTTTTAGTTGGTTTAAAAGACTCAAAAAATCAATACTTAAAAATGGGTAATATAAGAGTTTTTGCCTCTGATAGGGTGAAACTACTTGGTGTTACAATTGATAAGAATCTAAACTTTGGAGAACACATTAAATACTTATGCAGTTAAGCTAATGGTAAAAGTTTAGCTCTTTCACGCACAAGAAATTTTTTATCCCGTAATAAAGCTACCTTGTTGTATAACGCCTTCATAATGTCAAATTTATCTTATTGTTCCCTATTTTTGTTGTTTTGTTCTAAATACTTTGACAACCTTATAAACAGAATTTATAAAAAAGCTCTTTGTATCGTACATAAAAGGTTTGACTTATCTCTTGATGAATTGTTAAGTTTTGATAATAGTCCGAGGATCCACTTAAGAAATTTGCGCTTTCTTATGATAGAAGTTTTTAAATCAATTAATTGTCTAAATCCAGTATTTATGAAGGATTTATTCAATACAAAAAACGTTCCTTTTAAACTTTGTTGTAGCAAAAAAATTGTTCTACCTTCAAAAGGCTCCAAGTATAAGGATATATGTTGTACTATATTTAGAGCCATCTCGTTATGGAAACTCTAGATAACAAGACCATGTCCACTTAAAGTTCTGAGGTGTCCAAAAAACATATCGAAAATTAGTATGCAAAAAATTGTTATTGTAAAATCAAAAAGTCGGAATTGATTTCTAAATGCAGGCATATATATATATATATATATATATATATATATATATATATATATATATATATATATATATATATATATATATATATATATATATATATATATATATATATATATATATATATATATATATATATATATATATATATATATATATATATATATATATATATATATATATATATATATATGTGTGTGTGTGTGTGTGTGTGTGTGAGTGATTTTAAGATAATACTTTGATTTTTCAAAAAAAAAAAGTTTTACCTTGCTACACCCAACTAAAGTTTTTTAAAATTTGTAACTTTTTAAAAAATTGAAATTTTCTCGAGATCTAAGATACATACAAACATGTATACAACTTATTTGTTAGCTTACTATGTCTAGAGCATGCTTGAAAAAAATTGGCACCCTAGCTTTATGGGATCACTTTGCTACAACTTGGTTTCGGAAACCGTGAGAGTATGGACGTAGGAAACAATTTTTTTTTATTTTTTCAAATTTAAGTTGAAACTGTATAAATATAAAAACGTCTAAAAATTTTTTTTGATAAAAAATAATAAAACCTCCGCCATAATACCGCAGCTCAATGACTCAAGATTTTATAGTAAGGTGTTGCAGCATTTATATAGACCTAAAGAGTTTTGTACAACCTCCTTGTGGCTAGCAAAATAAATATAAAAAACATATTGATTTCTTTTTACCCAAACAGAGTGGGGCATGTATGGATAATTTTTTTCCGTACCTTTTGCTCCCCCCCCCTTACTTTTGTACTTCAGAAAAATAAATGATAGCGTTGAAAAAAATATTTACTTAAAATATAGATTAAGGTTTCTGCATTATTGAAGGCCTTGTTTTCAGCCTCTATAGTCTCAACCACATCATCTTCATCAACAATATCCAAGCTAATGTCAAAATCATAAGTACTAGATAGTGATAACTTGTCCTCCGTCTCCTCAAGACATTCATATTCATACGCAAGGCTTAGCTTCTCAGCAGGTGTTAGCTGTTCGGCTGCCTCTTTATATGCTGCTTTAGTGCGTGAAATTGGTTTTTTTATTTTATTCTTAACTAATAACATTTTCTGCAGTTTCTTCTTGTCATATGTCTGTGAAACAACCTACCGGATTGCTTTTACGGCTTTTTCTGCTGTATAATTAATAACCACCAAGCTTTTAAAAAATAGTTGAAAAGCAATGAAATCTGGATCTATATTCCATGGAGACGAAGGATAAAAAAGCCACTAACCATGACTCAGCTTCTACATAATTAACGAGTGAAGGTGGCTCGGTGATTTTTTGAGAAACTCGGTCTTTTGTGCAATAAAACCGAAATTGTTCTTTCTTTCAAAATCATACTGGTTTGTTTGAGGATACTGTACAAGCTTTCTAGCCATTTCTTCCTTTGTATTATCAGACACAGACTGATCTGAATTGACTAGGGCAAAAATAACAGTAGTGGGATCTAAGTACCAGCTGTGTTTTCCCCACCTTCCAAAGATTGAAACTGCAGCTACATCAAACTTCTCCAAGTGGGCCATCTGCCAGATAAAGTGCTGGTCCTGCAATGTTAAAATTTCAATACAATTTGGGTACACTATTTTATCAAATAATAATGCTAAAATTTAACTATGATTATTTGTACCAAAGGCTGAAAAACTAACTTGGATTGCAGCTGTATCTGATTTTTTAGCTCTCAGAAATTGAGGAGCATAGAACATTGAAATAAAAATTGCCATCTTTTCCACCTCATTAATCTTCTCCTGGCTCAATTTTAGGATTTGCTTGGTCGAATTAAGAAGAAGCATTATCTTTAGATTGTAGAGACTCTTTGCCATAAAACGAGCATGATGTACTGCTCCAGGCTTGTGTATGTTGAGAGGCTTGAATGTTGGTTCCAAGAACATGAGCTAGCTCAACAAGTTCCTGGTAGTCTGCTCTTTTCTCGTGTCTCTAAAAAAGTTTTATGCGGATATTTAATTTCAATCATAATTTTTTTGCATTCAAACTTGAAGATTTAAATCGTTAGAAAATTTTACCTGAGAGTTTTTGAAGACTTCTTCATTCACAATCGTCATTATACATTTTCTTGCTTTTTCTGCTTGTTTGTTAAACCAAGAATCATAAATAGATTGCCATTTGAAGTAAGTGATGACAGTTTTTCACATCAATATCATTCCACTTACTTTTCAAGCCTTTAAAGAGTGCGTTGTCAGATCCTGTGGTTTTGTCTATGATATCTGCTAACCAATAATGATTATGACTAAATTGTTTATTATAATTAGCTTTTAGAGTCCTTCTTTTAAATTATATTGAGAAACAGTTCATCTGTATATAGCACCACTAATCATTCCTGAATTGCTAGCAGTAGTTTCAAAGCAGACCATCTTTACGTGATCAGCAATTTCAAACTCTTTCAAAATTTTTTTGATAGCCTTGAACTGATTTAGCCTTGTACCAGAATGAACTCCTGGAGCGCCAAGTAGAAGATCAGTACCTCCAGCTCTCACAAGAACACAAATCCTATCAACTGCTACATTACCGTAATTTGATATTAAGTCCTACAATTAGGATTAGGTTAACGACGTAAGAAAAACAGTTGTTTTCAATTAAAATACTAGTTAAAACTAAATATATGCAAACCTTGATTAACTTTCCGTCAAAGTGTAGCTGAATTTTTACCTTACCTTGTTCGATCTTTTTTTTTATTAAAATCCTAGTATTTTTAGCATCTTTTTTAATAATTTTGTTTTTCATTTGAAAAGCTGAAATATAAGAAAGGGGCAACTTATTTGGATCACCTCCAGCTGCCGTGACAAGCTTTATCAGGGTTGCTGTAATTTTATGAGCTTTTATATCCATGCCTACAGCTGTTCTCATAGTTTCTTTAATAACTACTTGGTTGATGACAATGGTTTGTTCTTGATTTTTAAAACTCCTTATTGAACAGTCCATGTAATTTTTTTCTGATTCAGACTCTGAACTTGGTTCTAAAGAAATTGTTTTAGGTAGATGTACACCATCAGTAGAGCACATTTTAAAAACTTCTAGACTGAACAAATGATTTTTCGCAAAAACTTGTTAATGCTATAACTTTACTCTGAATTCTTCTATTTCTCTTCTTTTCTATCTCGGCTCTACACTTGTCATTAGACCCAAGCGTCATTTTTCTTTCTCCCATTTGATCCTTCAGAAAAAGCAAGTCCTCAGACTTGTCGGAAAGAAGCCTATCTTTGTCTGCTTTGATTGCTTTGATAAGACTTTTCTTTGTGTTACTGAGCCAAAACAGTCCTTGAAAATATTTATATTAAATAAAAAATTAACAATTCAAGTAAATATTTTTGAGGTTTATTTAATTTAAACTGAAGGAGTGATTTTCAAAGGAGATTATGAATAACTTTTTGAATAAAAAGTAGTTAGTACCTCTTACAGTCTTTAAAAAATCAGTGCGAGATTGCCCACATCCTGCCTTACTGTTATGTTGGTTTTTCTTGAGCTTCAGATATCTGTTAATATATTTTCTTATAATTCTTTGCAGGGTGACAGGTCTAATCATAGGAAAACCAGATCTTAGTCATGGAAACCAAAGTGATCCTAGTACACATTCTTTTTTGCAAAGTAGTATCCAAAGAAGTACAATGGACACTAAATAAAAAAATTTAAAGAATTTGTGACAAAAAACTCACTTATCAGAGAATTTTTTTCAACAAATATAATTTTTGTGAAACTACATATAACAATATATTTTTTCCTCAATGAAGTGTTATTTACTTACAAATAGATATGTCTTTCTGTAGGTTTTTTTTTGTTTATTTTAAATCAATTAAAGTATAAATTATAAATTGAACCTGAACTTGTTGCTGAGAGGACAGCATATAAGACGCTTATTTTGACAATTTGGCCAATTCTTTTCTTTAAGATAAAGAAATTGCTTAATCACATCAACCCGAGTCGGTAGCTTCATGGAACACACCTTAGCTGGTTTACCGACCAAAAAGTGCTCCGTGGCGTGACCACTTACTCTTCTTCTCTTAATAGAACTTTTTGACATTTTATAATTTCGGAATCTAAAAACAGCTGTTCTAGGTCCTCATAGTTCAAAAATTGCATTAAATACATTCAAAAAATATTAGTTTAACATTATTATTAAAAATAACTAAACATAAACAACTTTACAAATGTACTTTTAATAAAAAAATCAGCATTAAACTAACTTCAAACCAAAAGCAATGAAAACTTTAGATACTGATTTTTGATAAACAAAAAAAAGTAGATAAAATATAAATATTCAATATTTGTTAAAAATTGTCTAACTGCATATTTATATGTACCAAACACAGTCTTTTTAAATTATCAATATAAACAAATTCTATCATGAGGTTTTGTAAAACAAATAATATTTTTAAAATACAAAATTTATCATAAGTAAATCGGTCTTTTGAATTAAAAAACATCTGGCCCTTTGCATGTCTTTTGTCCTAATAATAATGATACTTTGCGGGTTTTTTATTTGTATACTTTAAAATTTGTGGTTTATATTATACATTATATAGATTGAAAACGAATTTTATTTTTTATTACTTTATTTAAATGTATTTTTATTATTCATAATTTACTTTTCTTTTTCATTCTATATCACAATATTTTTACGATAAAATTAAATAAAAATTATTATGCGGTTTTATAACCATATTGTAACAAAGTGATTTGCGAAACAAAAACTTTTTTTTTTCGCTCTTACCTCTACTTCCCCCGTCCATACTCTCACGGTTTCCGAAATCAAGTTGTAGCAAGGTGATTCCATAAAGCTAGGGTGCCAATTTTTTTTAAGCATGCTTTAGACATAGTAAGCTAACAAATAAGTCGTATACATGTTTGTATGTATCTTAGATCTCGAGAAAGTTTCAATCTTGTAAAAAGTAACAAATTTTGAAAAACTTTGGTTGAGTGTAGCAAGGTGAAATTTTTTTTTTTTGAAAAATTAAATTATTATCTTAAAATCACTCACAATTACAGTGCCGGACAGAGCAATATGGGGGCCCTAGGTAGACATGGATATTGAGGCCCCCCCTCCACTTATATTTATTTTTCTTTAATTTTAACTAATTTTTATTATTAAAATCATGACAAAGTTGATGTAAGTACTGTATATTTCACTATAATTCCTTCTAAATACGATAATGAACTTTATACATTATTACAAAGCCACTTTTCGTGCTTTAACTACAGCAAACTCATTGATTATCTCATCATACTTCAGATTAGCACTTATTTCATGTTCAATGCTCAATAACGCCAAGCCATTCAGTCTTCCTTGAAGCATTGTAGACCTCAGATATGTTTCAATTAGTTTTAGCTTGGAGAATGATCTTTCTCCAGAAGCCACTGTGACTGGAATTGTAAGTAGAATGCGAAGGGAGATGCACAGATATGGATACATCTCAGTTAGATAATGTTGTGCAATATACTACAGAATTTCAGCTGGCGATGTTACTTTGTTTGGCAGAATTTTTTTTTGGCCTTGTATATTTCAAAGCAAAGTGACTGACAGTCAATATCACTTCTTCCATCTCTTTTCAGCTTGGTTTGAAGTTTGTCACAATGTTCCTTTAACTTTAGGTTTGAGACTTCCTTAATATTAAAAAGGAATTGAAATGTGTCACGGAGCTTTTCTAGTTCAGGAAATCGCCTGTCCAATCCATTGACTGCAATGTCAATTGTTTCATTGAAAAAAGTGAACTGTATTTTTTGAAGGGGAGTCAACACAGTTTTGTGGTTTCTTGGTCTTCCTCGGGGCTCATATAGCACTGCTTCAATTTCACAGTTATGAGCAATTTCTTCTGCAGTAACCACGAATTTGTCAAAATTAGTCCGAAGTAACTTCAATTCTTTTTTGCAATTATTCAGATATTTCAGAGCCAGCTGAAGATCCATTTTTTCTGACTGCAAGTATTTACTTGCAATGTTAATCTGTGAAAGTAACTCATACCAAATAACTGTTTTGATTATGAATGCAAAGGATGAGAACTCATTTGAAAGTGACACAAGTTCAGCATATGACAATGAATTATTTGTCAAGTCCTTTAGCTCCTCAAGTGCCTTCAATATTCCAGACAAATTATTTCTTATTACTTTGACACAGTCTATTTGAAACTCTCATCGGGTTTTACTCCATTTCTTCTCTGTGACACCAGCACAATCTTCCATGACTTTCCATTTTTGTGGTGATGCAGAAAAGAATGCGTAGAGACGTTGAAGACATCCACAATACAATTTTGTTGCTGAATTGCATTTGGCAGCATCACAAATGTTGAGGTTCAGCAAATGAGCCTCACATGGTGAGAATAAGGCTAATGGATTCCGTTCATAAAATTCGTGCTTGCACTCCTTTGTTAGAACCTTTTATGTTGCTTCCATTATCATATCCCTGGCCTCGGCAGTCATCTATATTTATGTCGTTCTCCACAAGGAAGTTAGTTATCAAATTTGAAAGCCCTTCACCAGTGTGATCTTCTGCAACCAAGAAACTAAGAAAGTGCTGAATAGTTTTGCTTAAATAATGATTGGACATACGCTGCTTATACGTCTGACATGCTCAGCCATCACATTGTCAAACTTTGCTAATAGTTCAATGAGACCAAGAAAGTTGCCATTTCCGTGTGCAAAAAGTTTTTCTTCACTGCCTCGGAATGCCAGATTGTTTTTTTACCAAGTGCTGAATAATTGCAACAATTCTCTCAAAAACAGCTATCCAATACCTCTGTTCTTGCTGAAGAGTGGTTTGGTTCAAATTGTCAATTGTCTTGTTTAAATTTAAACGAGTTTCCAGCTCCTTCCATTGTAACCAGTAACAGGTGTGATCTGGTGATGTGTCATGTTCACTTAATCTGGCATAAATGTTTTTCCAATCACGATAAACACCTTTAGTAAGCTTGTCTTTTTCTGTTCCAACTAATTTACAGCAGAAACAGAAGACAGAATCCATCTTTTTGGAATAAACAAGCCAGGGTCTTTAAATTTTTCGGTCTTTTGTCAAGTCACGTTGATATGTTGAGATACTGAACCTGCGCTTAATTGTAGAATCCATTGGAAAGTCAAAGTCCTTCAACTGAAATGCCCCCTTTTCACTATTTCTGTTTTTAAACTTGAAAGATCTTCTGGCCATTCTGCTGGATCCAATCATATGTGTTGAGTTTGTACATTTTGGATGATACCTATAGTTGACTGACTTGACTTAGGCGATGCAGTCACATCTGCAGTTGACTGACTTGACTCAGACATTGCTATGGCATCAATAGCTTGCTCAGATGCTCCAATTATATCTTTAGTCTGCACAGTCATTTCAATCACTTCATCTTCTTTATAATCTAAAACAATTCCAGTCTCAGACAAAGAATCCGTTTTTTCAGCACTTTTTACAAAAAACGTACTAATCTTTTGCAATTCTGCGACCTTTTTCTCGTTTTCTTCCTTTTTCTTTCGTTTGCTAGCACCACTGAGATATCTCGCACTCTCTTCATTGTCAAATTAATAACACAGGCCTACTAAAAAAAAAAAGTTTTTTGGTGTCTAAGATTTAATAACTGATTTTAGGTATATTTTTGTTGCTGAATCTGAATTTGAAGTTTTTCTCTATCAGCTCTAGTTTTTGAGATAAATTTTAGGTGCGATTTTACATGAAATTAACAGTTTTAACTCCATTTAGTAATGTTATAACTCGTATAGACAATGTTTGGTTACTGTATTCTATATATTTGTAATATATTCAGTTTATTGGTCTGTTTGCAACAGGAAAATCCACTAGGTGGAGTAACCATACTGTAAATGAAGTGAACTTCAACTATAATTGAGATTAGTATGAGAGTTGTTATCGTGCGGAATAGATGAAAGTTGGGGTCGCGTGATATTTCTATTTTCTGAAGTGTTGTTGTTAAGTTAACCTAAATAGCATTAAATTGTTCTTGCATTTTTGTATTTAGATCTAGATAAAATGAGTTCAAATAGAAGAAGTTGTGTGAATCACCCTGATGTGTTTTGCTACATATGCGGAGAATATATGTTAAAAGAAAACAGAAAAAAAGTTAGTGACTTTTTAAAGAGAGCTTATCTTGCATACTTTGGTGTTAGGCTTGGGGATCAAGATAAAACCTGGGCCCCACATCAGGTCTGTAAAACTTGTACAGAACATTTACGACAGTGGACTACCGGGAAAAGAAAAAATATGAAATTCGGCGTGCCAATGGTTTGGAGAGAACCACAAAACCATTTCAATGATTGTTATTTCTGCATATTAAATATTACTGGAATCAATCGAAACAACCGTAGCAAGTGGACTTATCCTGATTTATTATCTGCAAGACGACCGGTTCTTCACTTAGAGGAAGTTCCAATCCCAACGTTTCTCCAGCTACCAGAGCTCTGCGAGGATGAATATTGTGCTTCTAATTCTTTTGATACTAATGAAATTGACAGTGGTTATGAGGGGAAGGGATCTATTCCACAACAATTCAACCAAAATGAGTTGAATGACCTTATCAGAGATCTCAATCTATCGAAAGAAGCTTCTGAGTTACTTGTTTCCAGATTGAAGGACAAAAATTTACTGGAACAAGGAACCAAAATTACTTTCTACCGTACACGAGAAA